ATGCTGCTCTGGGGAGGCGGCCGCGGCCAGCGCTGCGCTCCGGGCGGATGCTGGCACCCGGGCTGCGCTGCTCTCTGGACGCCGCTCAACTTCTCTCCCAGGCGCTGGAGCTTGGAAGTCATTGGTCTCTCTCCTGTTGGATCGACTTATTTTGAGATTTTGGGCGTTGCGGTTTACGCAGGAACCTCTATACCGCTCTCCCCCCTCCCTCCCTTCCTCTCTCTCTCTCAACCTTTTTGGATGCCTCTGTGCTGGCAGATTTAAAGACCCAAGTCTTGGCCGTGGAATATCTTGGATGGACTTGCAGGGGCCGGTGTTCTAAAGCCTGTCACCACAACCCTGTCCTTGTCTTTTTGTTGTTGTTAAAGTTCTTTTTAATTTTTTTTCCTTCCCCCATTAATAAATCACCAAACTGTTACCTAGCAGGCCGGTGCCCGCCTCTCCCAGGACCAGGTGGTGGTCTGCCAGAGCGGAGCTGTGTTTGAAGAGCAGCCTGCTCCACCCCTCTCCTCTCCAGCCCTGGAACGCCACCACACACTGGCATTTTGGAAAAAAAAAAATTGCCTCCAGAAACTGAGCACCCCCACCCCCTTGCCAGCTTCTCCTCCCCCTTTTTTAACTCCTTGAGGAATGGAGCTTTGCAGAGGTTGTATTTAGATTCAACAGTTCAGAGCAGCGGGTCGCTGCTGCTGCTGCTGCTGCTGCTGCCTCTCCAAAGAGCTCAAAGGCTCCCGGGAGGCGGCGGTCCCCCCGCCCGTCTGGATGCGGTTCTGAGTCTCCGCGTGTCTCTGCTTGTTGCTGGTTGCAGGTGTTCGGCCGTGATCACCTTTGTGTGTCTTCTGTCTGTTTCAACTTCAGGATGGCTCGCTTCGGGGAGGCAGTGGTCGGCAGGCCAGGGTCTGGCGATGGAGACTCGGACCAGAGCAGGAACCGGCAAGGAACCCCGGTGCCTGCCGCCGGGCAGGCGGCCGCCTACAAGCAGTCGAAAGCGCAGAGGGCGCGGACTATGGCTTTGTACAACCCCATTCCTGTCCGGCAGAACTGTTTCACCGTCAACAGATCCCTGTTCATCTTCGGAGAAGATAACATTGTCAGGAAATACGCCAAGAAGCTCATCGATTGGCCATATCCTTTCTTGCCCACCATAACTCCCCTCTCCCCCTTTGCATTTCTTGGGTGAGAGGGGAAACCAAGCGTGGACTCTGCCCCCCTATTTCCTTCCTGATGCCCATTTGCCCCTTTGCTGATGTGCACTCGTTACTTCGACGCATCTAAGGGGCAAGCTTGGTGCCATAGAGACCAGTGTGGGCACTAGTGGTTTTCAAGGTAAGACTTTTGGGTTCTGATTTTTCCTGTATGGCGGTTTCTAGCATCCCTGGGCGCAGGGTGTTGAGGTTTTGTGTGATGGCCAGTCTCCCCCTCCCCATCCTTTCACATTGAAAGGGTTGCCCTAAAATCAGAGCTTCCTTTCATGCCCTGTCCCCCTTTTCCTACCTCAGAGTCACCCCCATCCCCACCAGCTGGAGGGACACCTGCGTTCTCTGCCCACAGGGGAGGTCCAGCTCAGCAGCTTCAAGAGCTCTGGGCTAAGCCCATATGGACCCATCGGTGAAATCAGACAGGCTTTGCCTGGGGACCCAGCTAACTCTGGGGGGAAGTTGCACTGAAAGTAAAGTGGAGGAGTGCGCCAGGGGAGGCAGCCTCTAATGGCACAGCCCAAAGAGCTCAGCTGGAGTTCTCTTCTGAGCCAGGGAAGAGCAGCTCACCAGGGTCCCTGCTTTCCGTGGTCCTGAGCTGGGGACCCCACTGAGTGCTCTCCCAGCGCCCAGGATCCAGGTGGATCTGCTGGGCCTGCATTCATCCGCTGAAGGCTGCATCGGCGGAGCCCAGAGGTGTGCCTGCAATCGGTCTCCCCCGGGCTCCAAAGGAACTGCTCTCCACAGTGGGCTGGTGGGGCGGCTGATGGTGCAGGGCCGGGGTGAACGGCAGAGAGGGAGCGTCTTTGCAGGTTGAAGCAAGTGCACCAAATGCAGGCTGCTGATTAGGCATCTCACTGCCTTGTTCTTCACTAAGAATTTGGGCGTCCGTCTGGCAAGATCTTTAGGAATTGGGCGTTGGTGGGTGGTGCGGGGGATTAGTAGGAAGCCAGTCAGTAGGGGTCGTGGTAATTATGGGGGTAGCTTGGAGACATGGGACTTTGATGCTTGTGGAGAGAGATTTCTTGGGAAGGATGCACCTGCAAAGGAGGCCCCGCCCTTTCCCCCTTTCCTCCCTCCTCCACACCTCCACCCTCCAGGTGTGCATCACAGACAGCTGGAGCCCTGCTGGGTCCCTAGTGTCAGCTAGGCATGCTGTCTCTCCCCTAAGGGCCTCTTCCTGCTCCCCCCACCCCCTTCTCTAGTCTTCCCCTCCTTCCTCCCTAGTTCCTGCCTCAGCAGCACTGTGATTGGCTGGCGCATGGTACTTCCAGGCAGCACCCCTCATTAGAAATGAAGGAGTGGGCTGGGCTGGGCTTCCTCTCTCCTCCTCCCTGTACTCCCCTCCCTCTTCCCCTCCCTCCCACGCAGAGTGATGGGGCCATGCGGTGCCCGAGTTAACCGTATCTAGGGTGGGGGATTTGGGGAGAGAAAGGATCAGGTCGCTGCAGCCCCGCCCGCCAGTGCGCTGCACAAAGCAGACAGATCTCATTGTGTGGCATGCTGCGGCTGCAAACACTCCTCCAGCCAGGTCTCTGATTTCCCAACAGGGCCCCCTCTCCCTTCTGCCTTCAACAGTTCCCTAAAATTTCCTGACCACTAGGCGCTGCTTCAACGTGCACCTCTCTTAGGGGCACGTTTACTCAGGTGCCCTCTGTTTCCTTGGGGTAGACAAAGCCACCCAGCTGTCCTGAGGATGGCAAAGTGTGCCTGCAGGCATTGTTGGCACCTCGGACAGCGCCATGGAAATCCCCAGGAGGCTGGGGCGCCACAGTCACCCAGGTTCAGCACCTTGGGCGCTTCCCAGGCTGGGATCTCCTGCACGTTTCCTACACCACGCGGTTGCTGCTGCTCACATCTCGTCTCCTCTTCCACCGCAAAGACACCGCCTATCTGCTAGGCTGAGAGCGCCAGGTGGAACTGCGGGTTTTACTCCTCCGTTTTCTTGTCTCTGGCCAGGACGAGTGGCTAGGGGTCAGAGGGAAGCCAGAGAGTGGGTTTCAGCGTCATGCTCAGTGCCTTGGCTGAGAGCCTGTCCCAATGGTCTCTTCTAGCCTCATGGCTGGGAGTTTCCCAGTGGTTCTCCAGCATGTAGGCGGTTGTAGCAGTGTTCAGACAACATCTGCTAAGGTGTGTAGAGGAGCCTGGTTGGCCAATTTAAAATACACCATGTTTGCTTTTTTTCTCCTGACTGTACAACGTAACTGACATACCTTCCCTCTGGTGGTGACCACGTGGGAACATTGTGCTTTAGCAGGTCTGTGCTCTCTCTATTACCGCCTGCATCCAAGTTCCGAGTCTCACTTCCCTTCCTCTAGCAACACCCAGCTCCCAGCAATACCTTGCTTTTAGCCAATGGGAGTTAGCATGAGCTTCAGTTACCCGTCAAGCGTTAGAGCCAGGCTGTCTGGGTTCTAGTCCCATTCCTTCAGCAGCTCTGTGACCTTGAAAAGTCACTTCATTACTTTGCGACTCGGTTTCCTTATTGGTGAAACGAGGGAGACGATCATGATTTACCCGAAGAACTCCATGCGTTAATCTGTACCAAGTTCCTAGAATGTTGCCCGATACCCACTAAACACTAGCTATTATTATTCGTGAAGTCCTTCAGACATTCCAGCATACCTTAAGGGTGGGGTCGTAGTTCCAGGTGAACTAAGTCTTCTAGATTTTTACTTCGCAAAGACAGCAAGGAGCAGCATTCCTATCACCTCCTGATAGACGTTCAGAATCCCAAAGCCCCGCTCGATTTTCTAAACCATAATCTGCATTTGAATAAGGTCCCCAGGTGATTCCTATGCACATGAAAAGTTTGGGAAGGACTGCTCCGCTCACTGTAAGGGGCGCATTTTGAGCAAAGGAAGGTTCAGAAGACGTGTCAATACCCGCTTCCAGCTGACAGGCGCCCTTGCAGGATGCTTGAGGGTTTGGAAGACTTGGCGTGCCGTGCTTTTTGAGACTTAGACACCCTTCATCGGCTGGACTTGGAAGGTAATGTGCACCCTTATGTGCTGTTAGTAGTCTCTTAACACTGCATGTTACTGGTCTTTAATCAGATTGGGCTGGGAAGATGAGTTAAATAAAAGGGATGATTTAATTTCTACTCCTAGGACTCTCTAACTTTCGGGGGGTAATGTTATCTGGTTCCTAATAGGCAAGGTCTAGCTCTTAGGGGAGGAAATGCCTAAGATAGCCCAGATTTGGCATGAAAGATGGCGGCATGTCAGCAGCCCACTCTGAATGTGTTTCATTTTTCTTGGAAGCGACATCTGCATTGGGAGATAATTTTATTTTCTCATGGCACTCTCTTCTGCTGTGGAGACCATAACCTTTTTGAAAATGCTAATCTGATTTCAAATGTGGTATTACATTTTATGCGATTCCTCCTCTTCTGTCTCACTCATCTAATAGATCTCACAAAAGGGTTCTCTTTTTCCTCAAGGAATTGGCTGCTCTGAATGTCATTCCACATTCTCTGTAGCATGTGCCCACCAGCTCTAGCCCTTCTGTGCCCAGGCCCAGTTCCCCTGTGGACATACAGGGTCTCCCTGATGGTCTGTGAGCTGTCTCACACTGATTTGCGCTTTGCCAGGTGAGAGGTTGGAGGGAAGAGATGGATCTTCTGACTCATAGACTCTGTGCCGTTGATGGGCAGGGGGAATTTTTATTTTTATTTTTATTTTTTTTTTACCGGTGGTGTGAGTTACTCAGCAGGAGAGCACATGTTTCCCGTGGAAGTGAACATGGTTTAAAGTAGGACAATCCCTGAGATGATGAAGCTCATTACCATGAACCTGTGGACATTCACCCATGATTTCTTATGGCAGAGAATTTCACTGTGGCCCCAAAGAACGCTGGCTTTGGGTCAGAAGTTATGTGCTGTGTTATGGTGAATTTCTCATTGAAAATTGTCCACTTGTTTTCGAGGATTTTGATGAAGATTACTGAAAACTTTCGTTCCCACACCTCCCATTTTGGCGTTTGCTTTTCTCTCGCGTTGGTTGCCTAAAAATACCCAGTACCTTGCAGGATGGTAGACTAATCCTGTCAGGGATTTCGGGGTTGATGTAACTAATGGATCAGGAGTCAGAGTGCCTTGATTGGGACAGAGGGTGGCAACTAACAAGGATGGAGCCTGTGACTATATCCTATGGTCAGATAAGCAGAAAGGCTTCCCATCAGCCGTGTCCCTGGGCACGGAAGCAGACAGCGAGACAGATACCCGCTGTAACTGGCACCGAGGCTGCAGGACGAAAGCCTTCTTTTTCTAAGGCTCCCAGAGACCCTCCAACTGGCCCATTGGCTCTGCCATTGAAACACGGTGTGGGTCATGTGTCCTCTGGAAACCAGGCTACGACTTGTTGCAGGGCAGCTGTAAGTGTCATGCAACCTGGCAATGGACCTGGAGTGTGAAGGAGGTTGACAGGAATGAATGACTCGAAGATGGTGGCAGAAGTATCTTGGATGCGACAGTTCTGTCTGTTGGCTTGCCTACCACCACTTCCCAACGCGCTCTCCCTGCAGCGGGTGCAGGGCGCACTGCGCATTAAAGGAGGAGGAGGGAAATGCCGAGAACAGGCCTCTGCTTCTTCTCTTCTGAAAGATCCAGACTCTAGAATTATTAGCTCCATCCAAGGTTGCTTATCTCTTTTTAGCTGTTGCTGTGCAAAATGTAGGTGTTTCCCCGCCTCAAACTCTGCTGCTTCCCCCCTCTCCACAGGAACAGCTGGTTTCTGCCCGTCTTCATGTTCTTCGTTAAAATAAAACAAAGTCAAGATTTGCTAAGCTCTCCGAACTCTTGCAGACCCTCTGACGCCCCTGCTCCCTCAGCAGATCAGTAGCCTCTCTTTGTCATTCGCTGGGCCGCCTGGGAAAGAAAGGGCAGCTCCCCAGCCAGAGCCCAGCCTTGCCATCCAGCCCCTCCGGCGA